GCCGCCGGCGGCCCCGCCCTGCCCCCATCCGGCCCCGCCCCCTCGCTGGGGTGCGGAAGGAACTACGCGCGCACGTCCGGCTGCGGAGACCGTTCGGCCAGAGTTACGTGATCTCACGTAAACTGGGTCCACGCTTCTGGTCGGCCGTGCAAGATTGCGTCACTGGCCGCGAGCCAAAGTCTGCGCATGCGCAGGAGGCTGCGACGGCAGCACTGCGACTATCCGTGGCGCGGCGCAGGTGGGGCCTCAGGTCACGTGAGCGGAGGCGCTCGTGGACACGTTCGCGTCTATCGCAGCTTCTCTCCTTCGGCGCCGGCAACCTGCGTGCTGCCCACGTTCTAAGCTGGGGTCCGCCACTAGAGGTGGAGTTGGTCTGCGATGCAGGTCGCGGCCCCGGTATCGGTGTTAGCGGAAATCCAATTGCCGCAACGGTAACACCTGAGCAAGGTACCGGGAAGAGATTAGAGCCCCGCGGACGTCCTCTGGCTGGCGGGCGGCGGACAAAGCGTTTCCAGGTGCTGCAGGACGCTAGCCGGCTAGATTGGGTATTCGGGCAGGTGCCTACCTGGCAGTGGGCATCCTCTTACCCTCCACTGCATGGTGATTGTTTCGGGAATCCCCAGCCATGCAAATGGCTTAATGGGTCATTATGGAACCTCTCCCCCAGAGACCCATCAGCTCCTTAGTGGAAAACAACCTATGTCCTAGGAGTCTTTGAAGTCGTCTGCTAATAACCATGCCGCTTCCACCATCCTTATGCAGTTCTAGTCAAAACCTCGCTTTACAAGACTCAGCTGGAATCAAACTATTAAGTTAATTCTAACCTTGGCGTCCCACCCCCAGTCATTGCTAAAGCTTTGCCAGGTCATGTTCTCCCTTACTGCTGCTAGCCTTGCACTTAGCTTTATTTTATCTACGGGTTGTGTCGTTAATGGTTTGGAGTGTTAAGGCAAACATTAAAACTAAGAGGCTTAATGCTCCCTTATTTCCTTATTGAAAATAAGGAAAGACATTTTCCTCTTTGAGGTCATTGTAAATACAGTCATGCTGAATAATGACGGTTGGATGAACCATACATAGGACAGTGGTATACCATATAGCCTAGATGTGTAGCAGACTCTACCATCTAAGTTTGTATAAGTTCACTCTATGATGTTGGAAGAATCACACCAAAAAATGACGGAAATTACATAACTAGCATTTCGCAGACTGTATCCTGGTGGGTAAGTGGTGTACGACTGTAGTTTATCCTCTCTGAAGGGAATTAGAGAGGGTGTGATTAAATAACATCCCAATAGTTCCATTTCCCTGGTTTGCATGAATCCAAAAGTGAACACTGAGAAGTGTGGTTTGTAAGATACTGAGGTTGGGGTCAATGGCAGCTTCTTGCAAAAGCTCAAGGACCCAGCCCTTACCTGCTTAACTACATTACCTCCATCTCTTACACCCACACTCTCCTAGCCACACAGGCCTTGGCACAGGTCTGGCAGTGACTACAAGCCCCTCAACACAGGCCATTTGCACATATTGTTCTGCTCTTTTCTCTTCCCCCAGTTTATTCCTACACAGCACCTCAGTTCCCATTCTATTGTCTCCTCCCCCCAAAAAGCAAACCCCAGCTCCCTGACCAGGACAGAGCTCAATAGCATAAGCTCACAGATATTTCCAGTTTTGCCTTCAATAACTGCATGACTTCCAGGTAACTAGAAGCATTTAAGAAATAGGTGACAAGAGCTCTAAGCACTAAAGATGAGAGAGTTGGGAAAAGGTCATATGCCTTTTAAAAAGTGTTTTAAAACTAGAGACACTTTCTAAAAGATTTTCTTAAATCTTCTGACAATATTTCTGGACTGAATCTTTTTTATTGGGATAAAATATAAATAATAAAACTTACTAGCTTAACTTTTTAAGTGTATAATTCAGTGGCATTAAGTACATTCACAGTGTTCTACAACCTTCACCACTATCCATCTCCATAACTTTTTCATTCCTGCACCACTATCCATCTCCATAACTTTTTCATTCTAAACAGAAACTCTGTACCCATTAAACAATAACTTTCATTCCCTCTTCCACTCAGCCCTTGGCAGCCACCATTATATTTTCTGTATCTATGAATCTGACTACTCTGGGTACATTACATAAGTGGAATTATACAAACTTTGGCCTTTTGTGTCTAACTGACTTCAGTCAGCATGCTTTCACGGTTCATTCATGTTTCATTAAATAACAATTTCATTCCCTTTTAAGTCTGATATTCCACTGTATGTGTATACCACATCTTTATTCATTTATCTGTTGAACATTTGGGTGTTTCATCTTTTTGCTATTGATCCTGCTGTGAATACTGGTGTACAAGTATCTGAGTCCCTGCTCTCACTTCTTTTGAGTATATATCTAGAAGTAGAATTGCTGGATCATACAGTAATTCTATGCTTAACATTTTGAGGAACCACCAAACTTTTCTACAGTGGCCGCACCATTTTACATTCCTATTGCACAAGGGTTCCAGTTTCTCCACATCCTCGTCAATAGACTGAGTAATATTTAAGCAAGAGATTTTTACACATACACAGTGTCTTCAGCATATTTATCCAAACTCTCAGTTTCAAAAAGTCCTTAGTCTTCAGGATTTGAGCCCAAATAAAATGTCTCTAAGAAAAGCCCATATGACAATTCATGACAGGAAATAGGAAACACAAACAAATGATACCTTATTTAGGAAATAGTTCAGATTCCATTAAAACTTAAAAATACACATATCCTCCCATCATGAGCATTGAAGTTGGATAAATTTAATCCAGCCACAAGTGCTTTTAAGTCAATTTTGCTTTAATACAGCATGTCAAAATAGCTGATGCAACTATAGAACAACTTCATATAAAGTTTTTTGCAACACTGCTGCAATCTTTTTCAGTATCAAGGATTGTATCTAAATGTTTAAAAGAGCACATAAAGTATTTAGAATGTGTTAGAAGTCTAATTAGATATAAAAGCAAGATAAACGGAAAAAAGCTATACTTCTGTGTTCTAAGTATTCAGTGTTGAAAGGACTTTTTTAGTTTGGTGTCATAATAGCTTTAGTGCCTGACCAAGTGAAGAAACCAGATGTGATTATTATAAATTTTATATTCAGTTTCCTTTAGAAATGTTACATGATCAGGTTCCAAGGTAGAAATTTCATCAAGCTTATTCAGAGAACCTTTGGAAATCAATAGGTTTGATTTCCAAAGGTTCTCTGAATAAGCTTGATGAAAAAACACTAAAGCCAATACAAAATTAGCAAAGAACACAAGTAGACAATTCATGTAAGAGTACACATGGCAGAGAAAATAGAATACAGACATATCTTACAGATATTTCAGGTTTGGTTCCAGACCACTGAAATTAAATATTATAATAAAGCGAATCATAATATTTGCTGGTAGAGGGTGTTGCCTTCAATTTATAAAAAGCACATGAAGCACAATAAAATGAGGTGTGCCTGTACTATTAAAAATGATAAACTAATAAATATGACAAATTGACTTAAAGCTAAACAATGTTTGTTGCAGCAGAAGTTTGCATAGGAAATGCAACCTCATGGTCAGTTTGGGGGGAAAGTTCATATATGAATTCATTATATATATGTAACCGCCGCTATCTTTAAGCCATACCGAAAATGTAAATGGGCATGAATGATTTTCCTGTAAGGCCATTCACTGCAGTGCATTTAATACTAGTGAAAATTTGGAAACAACCTACTCACCCACAAGAAGATCAATTTATTATATATCTATGCACTGATTTATTATGTGGTCACGAACATAACGTTTAAAAAATGTTCAGTGTAACTTGAAATAATCGTTTCACAATGTTTTTCAAATTACACATTTTAAAGATACCATTTTGTCAATTATATTTCAGTAAAGCTGGAAAAAAATGTTTCATGATTTGGGGAACTTCTCACCATATTATAATGAGTAATGCGGGCTACACTATTTTACATAGGGAATGATCTAATTTAAAAACAAATCTATAGAAGTGGACTGGAAAGAACTATTCCAAATTCTAAAGTGCACCAAGGCGAATGCAAAAGAAACGTTCCCAGCTCCGATGCCCCGCCTACCTGCACCCGCCCCGCCCACTGCGACCCCAACCAACCTGTCTTCCTGCTCTGCCACCATTGGGCCAGCAGGCTAGGCCACGCCCCTCATGGGCTCGCGAGACAATCGCAGGGAGGAGCGGGGAAGGCGGCTCAGAGTACGCGGTACTCCCTGCCTATTGGCTGTTGAATAATATTCCAAGTGGTCGCACTGCAGGCTGATGAGGTAGTCATCCGTGAGACTCCAAGTACAGTTAGGAGCCTGCAGGCGCAGGCGGGAAAAGCTTCGGCCTCCTGACCTTGAGATTATGGCCTGCGGTTATAGGGTTCTGGTCCAGCTTTCTCCCCTGCAGAGCTGCCCTCAGTCACCATGTTTCCTATTGGCCAGGCAGCACCAAACGTCTGCCCTGTTAGGCGGAGACGCAGGGAGCCCTGGGCGCGGTGCCGTGGGTACACAGTGCCAACACGGGCACGGCATCTGGGTAATGCGTGGCCTCCGCGCATCGTCGAAGGGAGAGCAGCCCTTCTGGGGGGCCAAGGTCGTGGTGACC